CTCTCTCTCTCTCTCTCTCTCTCTCTCTCTCTCTCTCTCTCTCTCTCTCTCTCTCTCGTCCCCTTGCAGGTCTAACCCCGTGTCAGGGAAAAATCATTCTGTTGTGTTCCGTGCTCTGTGGTGCTCTGTGGTTTAAGCCATTGCATATGGTTTTGCTCTGTGGTTTAAGCCATTGCATATGGTTTTCTGACCCCTCCTGTACGTTCAAACCATTGCATATGTTTTTCTGCTGACCCCTTCTTCCTGGTAGCCCTCTGGCACTGTTTTCTGCTGACCCCTTCTTCCTGGTAGCCCTCTCGCGCGGTTTGCTGACCCCTTCTTCCTGGTAGCCCTCTCTCGCGGTTTTCTGCAGACCCCTTTTACCTGGTAGCCCTCTGGTGCGGTTTTCTGACCCCTTCTTCCTGGTAGCCCTCTGGCAGTGGTCACCATCCTCGCACTTCTCTGACCCCTTATGCAATGGTTTGAACGTACAGGAGTCGTCAGCCCAGGCTCAGCCAGGAAGAAAGGGTCAGAAAACCGCGAGGATGGTGAGCGGTGCTGGAGGGCTACATAGCAAGAGAGTGCACAGGAGTGTCTGACAGAGAGACCTTCAGAAATATAAAATGGCACGTTGCAGTAATTTCCTGCCCTACCAGTGTCACATTTTCTACTGCTGCCTTGGCAAATCAAACAATGGATTGATTTTCTACTGCTGCCTTGGCATATCAAACAATTGATTGCTTTAGTTGGCGGGGTATATCGTGGAGTTGGGGGTTGCGAATCGCAGTGGGTCTTGCCCGCGCCCTCGCCCCGCAGACTGGCTCACCAGCTGAAGTGTTTTTTTGTGAATTGTGATGTTTTTTATTGCGGCTTGCATTTGGCAAATCCAGGGTGTAATGAAGCGGCATGGCTTTGCTGGTGGTCCTGCGTCGCACGGAACTTCCAAGGCGCATAGAAAAGGAGGGTCAACGGGCCAATGCCAGGATCCGGGAAAGGTAAAACTCTTTCGGAGTCTTTGCAACATGTTCCTCCAAGCAATTCAATGTTCTCCTGTCCTCATCAGACTTGGCGTCTTCTTCCTCATTTGTTCTGTAATAATGCCAATCCGTGGACATATGTCGAGGGATAGTTGGCGATATGAAATTGCAAAGCTCTATATCAGATATGTGCAAGGAAATTGGTTTTCATGATATGGTGCCCAACGTGAATGCATGCTTTGACCATGTGTTTGTGTGTGGAGAGAGAGAGAGAGAGAGAGAGAGAGAGAGAGAGAGAGAGAGAGAGAGAGAGAGAGAGAGAGAGAGAGAGAGAGAGAGAGAGAGAGAGAGAGAGAGAGAGAGAGAGAGTGAAAACGGAAATGGATAGTAGCTGGAAAAGACGATGGATGGACTACAGGAAGGCAAGGAAGGAAGAATTAACCTGTTTACAGAAGAAAGAAGTAAGCTGTTCATAGAAGAAAGAAGTAACCTGTTTATAGAGAAAAGAGTGACCTGTTTGCAGAAGAAACCCATAAGCTATTTACTACAGGAGGAAACAACCTATTTACAGAGGAAAGGAGTAGCCTGTTGTGTTACAGAGGAATGGAGTAGCCTGTTGTGTTGCAGAGGAAAGGAGAAGTAAGCTGTTTACAGAAGAAAAAGAAGGTTCGATTCCCCACAGCGTTCGTTCGATTCCCGACAACCCCCTGTGTGGCATACTACGGGTTCACTGACTGAGAAAGTCGGCTTGTCCCTCCTGGCAGGCGGGGGGAAGTGGCAAGCTTTCCAGCCTGTGCCAGGTGTAAGAAGCTTGGGTGCTGCTTCCCCGCACAGAGCAGAGATAGGTAGGAGTAGAGACCCATAACCTTTAGGATAGCCTAGGATAGGCTAGCATATTTAAGGTAGTTTCCTATCGTGAACAGATGTGATTGTGGTTCGATGTCTGTTGGTGACTTGTCTGGTGTCTGGTTGCCTTGGGTTGTAGTGCCAGGGCTGCCTTAGGATGGTAGGTTGCTTGCCGAGACATGCGAGTAATCAAGGTAGCTAGTGCAAGGAAGGTACGAAACTGAGAGAAGAAAATAAGGTAGCAAAAATGCATCTGTCCCCAATATGAGGAGAAGAGGGACTGCTTTTTCTTTTTTTCTTTTTTTCTTTTTTTGAAAGAAACTTTATAACCTGTTCACAGAAGAAACCCATAATTTGTTTACAGAGGAAAGGAGTAACCTTGTACAGAAGAAAGGGAGGGGGGAAGGGAGGAGTAATAATCTAATAATCTGTCTGTGTCACAGACACGGAGAGGAGGAGGGAGGGTGATCGAGGCTTTCTTTGCGATTTGGTCTGACTGGTCCCTGAGTGTCTCTGGACCCCTGGCCCTGGCCTGCATGCAGGTATTCAAAGGAAAGAAAATGGCGGGACACATGGGAGCGGAGCGGAGGACAGTCCAGAATGTCTGGGTTTATCGTATCGATCCCCATCGCAACCTTATGTACATCCGCGGGCAGGTAGGGTCTTCTAGTCCTCCTCCTTCTCTACCCATCGCAACCTTATGTACATCCGCGGCGGGCTGGTAGGGTTTTATGTGGGTCGACTCTAGTCCTGCTTCTTCTCTACCTTTGCAAAAACAGGTTTTTCTTGATTTGCTGTCACTGCAAATGAAAGGTGATTGCTTTGTATGCTTATTTAGAATCATCACACAGTCCTTTGCATGGCCAGTTTCGCTTGTTGGCATAGCAGGACCCAATCAAAGCTGTTACATCTTACAATCATTAATAATATAATAATAGTAAATAAAATGAAGAGTCCAAGACACCACACTAATTCTTGTGGACTGGCATAACTAGCATAATAAAAGACCGCTAAAAATATGAAGATAAACCGACAATAAACCACAATAAAGTAAGTGTACTACTTACAAAGCGAAGGACATATGGTTCTTAGAAAGCAGGGCCAGGTCTGGCTGCTGCCGGTGCGTAATTAATAGTTGTTCATTTGCTGGAGGAGAGCTATGTTGCACGCCCGGCCGCGGCTGGGGGGTCCGAATCGGCCGCGGCCTCGGCCGATGGCCGAATCGGGGATATATATATATATGGGCGCGTAGGGCTACAAAAACCCTACACGCCCATATTTTTTTGGGGGGCATTATAGTTTTCAATTGCGTAACAAAAAAGAAAAACAGAAAAAAGAAAAAGAAAAAGAAAAACTCTTCGAAACCCCGTGCAAGTGTGTGTGTGTGTGTGTGTGTATGTGTGTGAGATTGGGTGGGGGTTGGGGGGGCGAACCGTCCCCCACCAATCAATCAATCAATCAATCAATCAATCAATCAATCAAAAGAGAAAAAAAAAGTAAAAAACAAAAACGGGAAAACCTGCTTTTCTTGTTTTTTGTTTTTACTTGTTTTTTTTTTTTGGATTGATTGATTGATTTATTGGTGGGGGATGGGTCGGCCCCCCAACCCCCACTCAATCACACACACACACACACACACACACGCACACACACACTCACACTCACACACACGCTCACTTACTTGCGCCGAAGTTGCGCGGGGTCCCGCCCGCGCAACTTCGGCGAGAAAGTGTGTGTGTGTGTGTGTGTGTGTGTGTGTGTGTGTGTGTGTGATTGGGTGGGGGTTGGGGGGGCGACCCATCCCCTACCAATCAGTCAATCAATCAATCAATCAAAAGAGAAAAAAAAAAGTAAAAAACAAAAACGGGAAAACCCGCTTTTCTTGTTTTTTGTTTTTACTTTTTTTTCCTTCTTTGGATTGATTGATTGATTGATTGATTGATTGATTGATTGATTGGTGGGGGATGGGTCGCCCCCCCACCCCCCACTCAATCTCACACACACACACACACACACGCACACACACACTCACACACACGTCACTTACTTGCGCCGAAGTTGTGCGGGGTCCCGCCCGCGCAACTTCGGCGAGAAAGTGAGTGTGTGTGTGTGCGCGCGCGCGCGCGCGCGAGAG